TATTGATATTTATATCCTTTGTGTATTTTTGTATATAATCTTTATTCTGTACTCTTTATCATGTTTATATGCTGTATAAAATCTGATGAGCCTATGGCTTAAAGAATAAAGAAAGAAAGAAAGAAAGAAAGCCTCATTTTCTTAGTATGTGTTAGAAAAGAAATCCAATTTTTTTCAATGGTGGAAATTTATGTGATAATGATGACGTGGAATAATTTTGTAAATTATAGATACTAGGGTGATACTTGGGTGAAACAAAGACAAGAACTTTAGAATCATAGCGAGGTTCAGAAATCTAAAAAACTTTAAAATACTTCGAACTAGGAAATTCCTTAGATGGCTTAATGATATCTTCAGAATTGTACTTATTTATTGTTCTTTATTGATATATTGTAATTGTTAATTTTATTCTAGAAAATTGCTTTTTCAAGAAAAAATATACATTAATCTTAAATCCAAAGTTCAAGTATATATATATATAATATATATATATATATATATATATATATATATATATATATATATATATATATATATATATATATAATTTCATTAAATATTTATTACATATTACCATTGTGCACCTTTTATTTTACTTTTTGATCCGACACATATTTTGGGTTTCCCGGCCACAGCAAAACGTGCGACTTTAATTGCCATTTTACTATATTGGATATTTAATTTGATATTTAAACATTACCTTAGTTTTTCTTTATTGATATACAGATATATTGTAATTGTCAATGTTATTCTAGAAAATTGCTTTTTCAAGAAAAAATATACATTTATCTTAAATCCAAATTTCAAATGTATATATATAATATTAAATAAATTAGTGTTTAATTTACCATTTAACATTTCAAATTTTGTTGGTTTTAAAAATCCATGTTAAAATTATGTGAACTTATTTACATACTTTAAGAATCTTGTAAACTAACTGGATATTTAATTTGATATTTAAACATTACTTATTTGTCTTGACTGAAATAATCTTTGGCGATGACAAAGAGTTGATAAATAATGGTATTCTATCTGTCACTTCATTGAAACTTTGCTTTCTGACATTTTGATGAATAGATGCAACATAATTATGTAGAATGCTAACGCACCACCAAATGAAAGTATAATATTTTACTTTCAAAATTTTTCAAAACTCGTTAATGATGTATTTGGTGGCATATTTCTGCCCCCTACATGCAAGATAAATTATGTTAACATGCAACATAATTATGTAGGCAAGCAACATATTTTTGTCAACATGCTAGTTAATTATGTTGACATGCAAGTTACCAATCTTATAAGAAAATATGAATTAAATATGGGCTAATTTACTTACTAACGCTTGTATCTGACATTTTAGATGCAAGATGAAAAAATTTTTATGCAACAAAATAACGATAAAATAACAATAAAACATTCGTAACCACCACGAAATGTAAAATTTAATACCGGTATGAATCACTACTAAACATTTTCCAACTTCGAAATCAAATCCCCAGAAACTAATTTGACCCAAGTAATTATGTGATTTTACAGTATCTTCTAATTTGCAATTGACGTCGCGCACGGTGTTGGAGTCAAAAAGTAAAAAAAAATTACCATAGCAGCAGCATTTACGCTTTTTCATAATTTGAAAACAATTCACTATATGAAAACTATCATTCGGTTGATAATCGTATACCTAATACATTTTAACACAAATATTGATTTTAAAAAATCCATTTATTAAATATTTTAATTTGACAATTACGTCAATTACGTCAAAAACGCATGTTGATCTGTAACGGGGGTGTTAAACACGCAATGACAAAATGTTTTAACTTCTATAAAACAAACAAAACAAACATTAAATTTTAGCATAAATTCAAAATATGATGTTTTTGGTGGCATATTTCTTATTTCATTTTAATATTTCATCTTATTTCAAATATTTCATATTTGCGCACGGTGTTGGAGTCAAAAAGTAAAAAAAAATTAACATAGCAGCAGCATTTACGCTTTTTTATATTTTGAAAACAATTCACTATATGAAAACTATATATCACTGAATGATAAAATTTGATACATTTTAACACAAATATTGATTTTAAAAAATCCATTTATTAAATATATTAATTTGACAATTACGTCAATTACGTCAAAAACGCATGTAGATCTGTAACGGGAGTGTTGCACACGTAATGACAAAATGTTTTAACTTCCATAAAACAAACAAAACAAACATTAAATTGGCAGCAAAATTCAAAATATTATGTTAGTTGATGTAACTTCTACAATTGTGTTGTCGTTCAGTCCGTATGTTGTGAGTGCGGTGCTCAAAATGCAAGACAGAGATGTAGATAAACGTTAACCAAAGACATATGGAAAGAACATGAAATGCCTTTGCTTACTTAGAAAAATAATTACATGAGCTAAATCTATTTTGAAATTACATCTCAACTAGAGGTACTGTGAGCAACATGAGCTCACTAAATGATACCCCCCGCCTCCCATATGAATATAATGGCAGTGTCCATGTTTTGTTGTGGAAAACCCAAAATATGTGTAAGATCAAAAAGTAAAATAGAAGGTGCACAATGGCAATATGTAATAAAGATTCTGTGAAAGCTTCATCAAATTTCACTCAGTGATGTTAGAGGAGTTGCGGATAAGAGATGGGTACCTCAAAGCGTAACAGACAGACGGACGGACGGACGTACAGATGGACCTACGGACATCCCGATTACTATATAGTATATACCCTCCCGCTTTTCAAACGGGGGTATAATTAATGTCAACATGTTATGTCACAGAGGTAAAAAAAGGCGTTTAGACGTTATTACGTTTACTTGCATAAAAATTTAATCTTAAATACACTGCATCAGTATATATCCCTGTTAGAATCTGTCCAAAAGAATCATCTCTCAAAGTTTGAATTTAAAAAACGACAAAAAATTCACACACCGAAATATATTAAAGGATATTCGGAATCAAATTTAAATTCCCTGACAATAAACGGTGGGATCACCAGGGAGGAGCAGGCATTCTTTATTGACACTGCGCACACCTCTGAAAATCAAATATATAATTTATATACTCAAGAAAAAAAGAAAGGCATATTCGGATTAAACATGATAATCTAAGTTTTCAGTTTAAACCTTATTTTTTAAAGTGATTTTAAACGTGTTGTGATAAAAATCAAACCTGTCCCATGTTGCAAATTGAAAAAGTAAAGTTGATGTCAATGCCGTCGCCTCCCATTTCTAGGGGCATACCGTTTTAAGCAATCCATATGTCCTTTGCAACGTCTCAGCGCTAGTGGATTTCCAATGTACGGACGTCGTGCACAAAAACCAGCTCCTCTCAGTCTCTTGCGAACAATTAGTGCACTTTAATGCTGATTTCTTCATCCAGCAATTGTAGCAGCAATTTGTACAACAGTTCTGAATCAATTGCGCAGGTGCTGAAGGGGGATATCTGACGGTCCTCTCTGGGTGTGGTAACCCGCGGTCGGTCAGTTCTTGGCCATTTATCTGTGTTCCTAGCTGGTGGAGACGTACTTTGCAACCGCTGCAAAGCCGATTGATGTACATGTATACGAAATGCAGTTGCAACTTCCTCTTGCGTAGCTCCGACTAGTATCATCATTAGCCAGGTTGCGTTGATCTTTGTTTAGGCGTGGCATCAACATTGCAATCAAATCTTAAATGTGGGTTTAATAGGAGTGTTTATTGTTTCTCTAAATCCAAAATATCAGTGAAAATGGACCCCCCGATTTACAAGAAATCATGTAAAACACTCTTTTCATAAACATGATTAATCAAGGGAAATAATTCAACATTTGGGTTTAAAAAACCCATGTTGTCCTTTAAATAGGTAAATCATGCGTTTCAGCTTTTTTTTGTATTCCAATGATATAAAATTTGCTTATATAAACTTATCATAAAGTGATAAAATGATATAATGAAATTTCCGTTTTCCGTTTGGCGTTTTAGCAGCACGTTATTTCTTGTACATGTTTTGACTATTTCTCCATAAAAGGCGTGATAAAAGCGACATTGATCTGCTATTATTAGTATTTCATATTGTTCAGCTGTGGCAATACTTACATCTCAAGAGATTTATTCCGGTAATCACATGTGAAGATCACAAGTAGCATACCGTGAAATACCCAAAGGAAGAGTTTAATTAAGTTTGAATAAGGAAGGAAGTATATGTATTAATATACCTATATTTACCTATATTACCTTTCATTGAGTTAAACAAATCTTCGAATTCTTCTGGAGAAGGTCGAAAGCCTATAAATTAACAAAACAATAGATGAATTTAAAAGATGTATAAACCAATTACTTATCTAGTATTTTATTAAGTACTTATCTTCGATTCGGTGACATTTAATAATTTCTGTAACTCTATACATGAAACATAACTATTGTACAAGAAAGAAACGTGTTCTGTTTAATATTTCATTTGAAACAGTCACTGTAGTTGACCGGTTTTCAATTGTTTTAGTAACACTGAAAAACGGTAAGCGATATCTATACTACATTTTGAGATGTATGCAATGGGGAGGGTGTGTGTGTAGAGGCCAACATTACCATTTTTTCGGACATTATTATTATCTGACAACCAGCTAGCCCTGCAACAAAAACTTGATATGTTATACAAATATTGTAAAGAATGGTGTTTGGAAATCAATGTTAACAAAACAAAAGTAATTATTTTCAACAGAAGTGGGCATTTATTAAAAGAAACATTTTCAATTAATGGTATTGATATAGAATGTGTAAAAACGTATAAATACCTAGGTATAATACTCTCAAATTCTGGTTCTTTCAAAGAAGCAAGGTGTAATTTATATAACAAAGCTTTAAAGTCATCATTTAAAATATACAAAGATATAAAATCAACAGATCCACCCATTAAAACTTTACTTCATCTATTTGATCACATGATCAAGCCAATAGCTACCTATGGATCCGAAATATGGGGTGTATTGTCATCATCAATGCAAAGAAAAGAAAAATGTTTATTTGATATATTTAAAGATTGGGAGATTGAAAATCTTCATATGAAATTTTGCAAATTTATCATAGGGTCTGGGAAAAGAAGTACCAATATTGCAGTTCTCTCTGAACTGGGTAGACAACCAATATTTTATTCTATTATTATAGCAATTATATCTTACTGGCACAGACTGGAAAACATGCCTGAAAACTCTTTGTTATACAGTGCATACAAAGAAAGCATTATCTTGGACAGTTGTAATGTAAATAGTTGGTTTTCAAATGTAACATATTTCTGTAACAGAATGGGCATAGATTTGTCAAGATGTAAATCAATGAAACTAATAACTTTAAAGAAACATCTGAAAAAAATTATTAGAGAAGATTTCCTTCAATATTGGTTTAAACAAAGAGATGATGGTTGTCTATCGGGTAAACTTACAACATATTTCTATAAAAAAAGAAGTTTTGAAATTGAAAAGTATTTATTATTAAAAAATTTTGAACAAAGAAAAATTATATGCAAATTTAGAGTGAGTTCACATAACCTCAGAATAGAAAGTGGAAGGTACGAAAAAAAACTAAACTCTGCTGGAGAGCAAACCACCCTTGCAAGAAATGAAAGAATTTGTAGAATGTGCGACATGAACTGTGTGGAAGATGAGATACACTCACTGATTGAATGTCCATTATATAAGCATGATAGAGATGACTTTTTTAATATTATTGCTAAAAGTAATAAAAATTTCTATACTTTAACAAATAAAGAAAATTTTTTATGGATTATGTCTAATGAAGATGACATGTTGCTTATCAAGCTGGGTAATTTTTTAATCAATATCTTTAAAATAAGAAATAGCAAATTATGCAATGTTAAACAAAGAAACAAATAAATACAAAAGAGTAATATATAGAAATACTTTAAACAAACTTTTATTTACAGTATATTGATTATGTATGTTGTAATCCCCAACTGCTGTAACATCATTTATCTTTTGTTAGTTACTGCTATCAATTTTGAATTTCTGCTTGTATGTTTTTTTTTCCTTATTACTTGTATGCCCTGATGGGCCCCAAATTGGTATTAATAAATCTTATCTTATCTTATCTTATCTTATCTTATCTATACTACTTTATCCTCATTTCACTATACTGAAACCAAATGTGTGGGGGGAGGGGGGGCGGGGGGGGGGGGGGCAACCGGCCTTTCAATAAACATTTCCAATAGTAAAATGTATGTTTGGGGGAAAAATGGGGGGCAGCCCCCCCCCCCCCCCGGTTGCTACCTGCCTGTTGTATATCAACGCGTTGTTACTTCGTTGTCCATTATGGGTTAACTGTACACTTTGGAAAATGGTCCAGTGAAGGTGTTTTTGATATCTGTTTCTTATCTTCATCTTCTTATGTGTATTAATTAGTGTGGATATATCAGCAATGATACACATGAATATTTGTTTGATTGTTGTTTAAAATCTTCACTCATATGGAGACGCCACCACAAGGGACCTCGATTTATACCGTCTCATCCGAATTAAGGACCGGTATCCACGTCCCACGGTGGGATTCGAACCCGCGACATAAGGATTTACTCCTTACTCCGCGACTCCAGAGCAGAGGTCTAATCACTGTGACACACAGATAACGATACACATGAATATATGGGACCTCGCACCTCAATACTATTTTTTTTTTTCAAAAATGTAAATTTATCTTCAATTCTTTACTTCTCAATACAACAACTCCACTTACAATTTGTCCAAGCTTTTTTAAAGTTAATTAAAATTACCTCTTTTATCTTCGAACTCCTTCACAATTCTTTGCAAGTTCTCTTGTGGGTGTTCATTCCTTTCTATCAAGATCTGCCAAAGCTCCTGCATTGAATAGTCCACTGGAAGACCCTCTTGGTCTAGTCGCCCTTTCTTTCTCATTATATCAATATGTTGTATAGCACCAAACAGTTTTGTTGTTTTCCTATGACTTTCTTCTTCTATATATTATGCATCATAAATTAGAATTACAATTTAGAATATTTTACGTCGCAAAATATGAGTTTCATCTGTCATATATGCATGTTACAATGTACCACATAAATTGAGAAGATGCCCCTAGCAGCAGCTTAAGTGTTCTCTTTAATGCAGAATTGATTTTGTAACTTCTGCATTGTAAGTACTGAATATAAAAGGAAATTGTGTTAAGTATGTAATATTTATAATTTATAGCTTTAAATGTACATGTATATAATGAATGCAATGTACCTGAAAGTTATATAAATATGACTACCAACCTTCCAATATCCTTTGCATATATCTGATAGCCGTTCTCATGTCTGATCCAGATATTGGCGTTTTATACCATCCAATATAAATTCTTTGAACAACCTTCACATAATCCTTGTCAATTTCTCTGGTGATGAAATCCCTCCTTTCCTCCCGTACACTAGACATTATCGTGAAAATTTTCGGCTGAAAGGTGACACAAAAGACTGCATTATGACCTTTGAGCAGTGAGGGATCTTTTAGCTTGTGTCAGTACTTAACTAGTGCTAATTGTAACGGGGACCGTTACAGATGTTCCCCAAACGCTCCCCATGTCCCTTATCGTGCCTTATTCCTCTAAGACCTTTTATAAATATGCTAAGTATCCCAAGATTTCATTTAAGAATATAAAAGTTACAATGATATCAACTATCAACGATATATTGTTTTAACGTTTTGCATGCGCGCACACATGTACATGCATATGCAAGATGATTATGGCATGTTGATTAAGCGATTAACATATCTTTCTATCCCGCGAAACAAAGAAAAAAATACATACATAAATTTACCATTTCTCAAGCATATGTCATATTTTTAATATATCGATTCACATTTTATTTCTCTACTTATTTAAACCTCGGGCTCAAAGTTGGTTTTATTCCGACGACAAGGCAGGGTTAAAGTCGACTAAGGGTATCACACCAATACCTAACCAATCAAAATGAACTTATTCAATAGTAGTTCCATACATGGAAAAGGGATTTTCCTTTCTGTTCAGAATTTTTTTAATATTTCCTCTCAGGCCATTTTGACAACTCTGATACCTGTGCCTGGTAAATTTTATATACTTTGTAAATAAATATATAAAGGTTTTTTTGACCGGAACTATTCATTTTTTCCAATGCATAGGGGGCTACTCTCTGGGTTTTACAAGAGATGTTTAAAAAGACATTCGTGTCAGCTAATGTGACCTATATTGTTTAACACCTTCTTATTAATATTTTTTTCATGAATGCAAATATCTGATTATTTTACGAAGGAGCGTACATGTATATTGATTTTTTTAATATACCTAAAATCGCTATTTCTGGGGATTGCGTAATTCTAAAAAAAATTCAAATAAATTTCAAAGGTAAATTAAACAAAGGATGCTTGGTATTAAAATATTATTTCAAATCAGTAGAATCGAATGCTATTAACGACATCTGAATAAATAGGCTATAAAAGGCTTATATGCCAACTTTGGTCATCTGCACTTTAATTTTAAACACGACAGGATTTGTAATTTTTTCTGTATAAATTAATAATTTCTATATACTTTGGAAACTCAAATGAAATATTTTAATACACTTTCCTCGAGCTCTTTTCTGCAGTTTTCCTGAAATTTTATGTGGGTCCGAGGTGTTATTTGAGTTTAACAGTGATTCTCTACGTTGCCATTAATTTGATTTGTTTGTGTGTGTGTGTGTGGGTGGGTGGGGGGGGGGGGTATTTTTATTCTTAACCTATTTAACGTTGCAGTTGAATCTTGTATCTTATTCCAAGAACTTAAGATTGATTGTGACATTTGGATGAAAGGTCAAGGTCATTAAAAACCACCACCTCTTTAACTTCTAACCTGTCAACCGAAATAAACTCTGAAAGGTGTTTCTAGATACATGTACATGTACTTCATGTTTCTTTTTACCCTTCGGTCAAGGACAAAGGTTAAGGTCGATTTCAAGTTCAAACGGTCAAGGTGATTTTGGTAAATAGTTAATATCAACATTTTATTCAGGTTACCAGTGACCTTGACCTAAGTTTCAAGGTCAAGGGTAAAAAGATCTGCATGCTTCAGTATGTTACATGTCTTGACATTTAGAAGTTCTTAATTCTGCATGAACATCAAACACTCAAGTATACTGTCTTTTAATACATTGTGTGCGGTCGCATGTGCATGCACGTCCATGTATTTACTTTTGATAGTAGTATAATGTAGGCAATCATTATATCTATTCATATTTGAAATTTCACCCTGTATTATTGAGAACCAAGAAAGTTGTAGGCATTTAAAGTTTTAGCCAATCAGATTGCAGCACACGTGCATGTGCGTGCGTTCATGATTATTCTTATATATCATGCTGTAGATCTTCATAATGTAAGACTATGTTCAAAATTTCAAAGGATTTTGTCAGAAAACAAAATAGATATTTAGACTTTAAGTTTCAGCCAATCGCAGCGAAGGGCACCTGCATGCGCGTGAGATCTTGCTATTTTGACCATGTCATCATGTCTATACTACTACTATATCCTTATATTATGAGTTTCAAAGCATTTCATCCAATATTTAAGAAGTTACGGCTAAATCTATTATATTGATCATTTCACGTGTTACACGTGCGCGCACCTGCACGCACGTGCGCGCAAAATGACCTTCGTTCCGCACATCTACATAACATACCTAGTGACCCTAAAAAGGTTTCACCTAGATCGGATGAGTAGTTTACGAGAACACTCGCGGACAAAAAAGTACCGGAGAACAAAGAAAAAATTCAGAAAAAGTAAAAACAATATGTTCCCAAACTTCGTTTGGGGAACATAATTAATGCATAACGTGCAAAAACAAACGATCTTGATAATATTTCTAAAATAAAATCGGGCATAGAAACTTTGCTGAGGATTTACCACCATTCATTCACCTGCTATTAGCTTCGAAAAGGGAAGGGAACCTCTGTAATTTGTAAATTAAATAATTTCTATTTACATGAAGCCCTAGATCTTTATCTGTACTCGAACAACACCGGGCTGGAAGGCGGAAATTTTATTAACCAGAAGTTAACGAGTGTGCGCATTCTTCATCGGATGTTCTAAAAAAGCTTTTCATTTCTTTCCTTATTTAACTTCTATCATCATATGACGCGTACGATTATTTGTGTGTATTTTTATCTACTTGTAAATATATAAATACATTTCATAACTTTAATATTTGCCTTTATATCGGTATCATTTTTTATAATTTGACATTTTGTCCGGAACAGTGGCATTGGGAAATATCTTTGTGACATGATACGATCCTTAGATGACCTTTTTGCCGAAAAACCAATTTTTCGACGTGCATTGCAATTCGTCTGATTTATTTTTTTTTTATTTTTGCTCAGATATGAAGTGGTTAATTACGCATTCTGGTCCAGGAGCTTGGTTGAGAAGTAGTCTACCAGTTGAAAATCACGTAATATACTAGTATAGCGATTTATGGCCTGTCAAAAGGTCAAAGTTCAAGGTCGTAAATTTATACATTCTGTCTGTGTGTAAAACTATCATTCTCAGGCGATATTTCAAGAAGATTTTGAGCTTATGCAATGTAATTTTATACCAAAACTCCCTAGGACCTCTCTCACCCCTCTCAAAGCGCCCCGCCCCGTTTGTTTTATTAGTATTTATAGTATTACATGTCGCTATTTTTAGCACAGGGGCATGAGGAGAGTTATTGCGTATAAAACAGGTTCTCGGTGGACTTTATGTTCTTATTACATCTATTAAAACTGTTTAATAAAGGCTAAATAAATCAAACACCATGGATTGTGTAAAATTTTGATAATACCGAACATGAATATATACATGTATGTAACTTCACTTCTGCATA